AGCTGCCTCCACCAGTGTGTGAATGTGAGAGTGAATGAATAGTGGCATTGTAAAGCGCTTTGGGTGCCTTGAAAAGCGCTGTATAAATCCAATCCATTATTATTATTATTATTATTATTATTATATTCATTTTGCTTGGCTTTTTAGAAATGTATCTATTTGTTGCTGATTTATGCATTTTTAAATTGCGACTATTTATGTTTGTGTCTCTCATATCATTTTGAATAAATAATTTTACATTTCTTTGCTGACATTTTATATATTTTGGGGGTATTTCTGTCTTTTTGGTCTGTTTGTGTGTTCATGTGGATTATTTAACACATCCTTGTGATACTTTAGCATAATTTTTGTCTATATTTATTTACTGGTTGTTTTTGTGTCTCTGTGTAGTTCTTTAGACCTTTATTCTTTTGGTGTCTTTTGCAGTCATTTTGTGTCATCCCTAATCTTGTGTTTCCATCTTCTGGCTCTGGCTCATACATTTGCATTCAATTTATGTAATTTCAGGGTACTTGTGTGTCTCTTAGTGGAAGTTACACATCTTTGGTGCCATTTTGGGGGGAGTTTTGAATTCCTTTTGCTTTTAGTAAATGTTATTTGCTGTTCCGAGTCTCTCCGTGGTATTATTTTCACTTCGCAGTCATTTTGTAGACTTCTTTTGTGCGTTTGTGCCTCTCAGCAGTTCATTTTATCCACATTTGTGTTCATTTGGTGCCTCTCTGGCACTGGTGATCTCACTGTGGCTTTATTATTTTACACCTCTCCTTTTGGCATTTCTGCATCTCTTTGTTGTTCTTCTGTTGCTGTTTTATGTCTCCTCAGCAGTGATTGTGCATATTCTTTCTGGAGCCAACTTTCCAACAGGAGATGTAAACAGAGGATGTGGTCCAGGGGCTAGTAATCCCTGAGCCTTGCAGGAGGGCCAACCAGATTTCATGGGGGCTTGTGCCGCCCCTCTGGATCCACTCCTGGTTTGGAAACAGGAATACTGGGAAGCATTTGATTTTGCACACGCTCACATATGGAGAATCCACATGAGGCCTTGTGATAAGATTTCACGTAAACACAGACCCATCTTCCTGCAAATCGGTGCCTAAGCCCACTGTCTGTGCCTCAGAAATCCATTGTGATCAGATTTCCCCCCCCCCCGACCAACAGTAATCTGTGCTGTAAGTGGATTTATGTAACCTACTGGTGTCTACGCTGAGATTAAGCGTGGGCATGTTTAATCCCTGCCTCATCCACACTGAAAAACGTCATGCGTCCCATTCACTATATTTTAGTCCAACGGCTCTAATCTTCAACTTCTAAATCTGTGCTGGACAAATGTTGTTGTGACTAAAAACTCCAGACAGCCGTCTCTCTGCTGCTTTATTGGAAGACGTTTTTCTGATAGATCCTTGAAGGGATATTTCTAGGACTGGGTGATGAGACTCATGATCCATGCGAAGAAGTCATATGAGCTCTTTTTCTGACCGCCCACCTCTGTGGTTAAAGGTTGGCATATTTTAAGGAACAAATAAGAATTGTTTGGGAAAGCTCGAGGCTCTGGTCGCTCATGAGACAGAGACAATCATTTAAAAGACAAATGGCTCTACTGATGCCATTTATCACACTATCAAAAGGGTTTCCTTTATCCACACTGAAAAAACTGATTCTTTGCCCTTGTGGACATGAAGCAATAATTTTGAGTAAAATGCAGATGAACTTTATAAAAAAGAAGTTTATTTTAATCATTAAGGAAAATAAGTTGGTATAAACTAATTGTATACAAGTCAAGTAAATTTCATTTCACCAAATTCCATTAAATGTAACATATTTATGCAAAAAAAAGTACATGGAAAAGTCAGCTGTTTGGGAATAAATATTTTTTGAGTGAGTGACATATTTTATTTCTATTTGAAGGTTTTTTAAAATCATTTTTATGCAAAAAGGAGTTAAAAATAATCATCCAACGAGATTAATTTTTGGAAACACATTTTAGGTACTTGTGGCTGACGGCTGGTTGCTAGCAGACCTTCCAGGCTTCGGCTGCCTCGGTGTCTCTCTAATATTATTCAGCACCTTGTCATAGGTCTAAGTCAAAAGGATCGTACGCTCTTATT